AGCTGCATATTTCTGGGCAGCTTAACTGGGGGGTTCTCTGTTTTAGAGGAGATGGGTCATTCAGCTGAACACATCTAACTTGCACTATCTCACTTACAGCTTCCTACACTTCAGCATCTCACGGACTCAGAGCTTAGCTTTCCTATGTGGGACTCCCCAAATAGAAGCCAGCCAGCCTCCTCCCCTCCCCTAAATTTAGAGACCATCTCTGAAGCTCTTGGACTAAGGAACTTGTTCAAGATCAATAGGCAAGTGTGGCAGAGCTAGAAATAAAATAACGTCTGCTGACTTGCAGCCTTGTGCTCAGTTCAGGTACTATGGTCAGGACAGCTGAAATGCAGAAAGTAAAACAGTGAAGGAGAAATGGGCCAGTATTAATCTGCAGGGCTCTGGCAGACTCTGAATACCTGAAATATTTGGCAGCTGAGCCACTTTTTAGTCATACCAGCAACCTTTTTTCTTCCCAAGATCTTTGTAAAGGTTATGCCCAATTTCAACAACTATTTCTCTCTTTCTTTTTTTTTTTTTTGCCTCCTTCTGCTGGATCACTTTTATGTGATGTTCTCAGTTCACTCTCATCTTCTATTTTACAATTAAAACAAAAACTAAAAGTGCAGAAGCAAGTGGCAGCTCTCAGACTTGTTCTGTGACGATTTTATTCTGACTGTTTTTTTCCCCGATGAGTGTCGAGGAACGCAACCAGGGCAGTGAGTCTCCTCCTGAGTCAGCTGCGGTGGGGTGGGGGTCAGGCCGATTTGCTATGGTGGAAGTGGTGACAGGCCCTGGCAGATCGGTCGCTGCTGCATTCCAAGTAACTTTTTTTTAAACAGCAGAAACAATCCAAACATGGGAAATATTTTGAGATAGGGGAATAGGTGGCTCTCCAAGCTTAGTCATTCAAAATGAGTTTAAGCAGTTGTGTGAAGTAAAATCAGGGTAGTGTCAGACACTGATCATTTTCTGTTGGTTTTCCTTGTCTGTTCTGACTTAGTTCATGGGAAGATATTTAGACTTGGCCACAGCCACCAGAGCTGGTGGATGGTGTGCCCAGAAGGTGCACCCCCACTGCCCCATACAACCCCAACTGCTGACCCCAGGCTGTTTTCTACTTGCACTGTGGATAGTTCCTACCATGGAAGACTTTTAAGCACGTCCTTCTAGGCCTGCTAGCAGCTGAGCAGTTGTGTCAACAGACAACATCAATATTGACCCACAAAACTTGTGAATGCAACTATTTTAACATCGCTGCACTTGGTGACCCACGGCTGAGGAAGCTGAAGTGCCTGTGCTTGGGCTGCCTTGTGCTGTGGGGCCAGAGAGGGACAGGTGGGAAGCAGAAATGGTGTGTGGCCGTGGCTCGTTTGGAGTCCTTGTTTGGCTGAGAAAAGGTATATACTGAAAGCTGTACTGAAGTCTGTAAGGACCAGTGCTGTTTAATATCTTCATCAGTGATACACACAGTGGGATCGAGTGCACCCTCAGCAAGTTTGCAGATGACACCAAGCTGAGTGGTGCAGTCGACACGCCTGAGGGACGAGATGCCATCCAAAGGGACCTGGACAAGCTGGAGAGGTGGGCCCATGTGAATCTCAAGAGGTTCAACAAGGCCAAGTGCAAGGTCCTGCACCTCGGTGGGGGCAGTCCTCATAATCAATACAAGCTCGGGGATGATGTGATAGAGAACAGCCCTGCCAAGAAGGACTTGTGGGTGCTGGTGGATGAAAAGCTGGATATGAGCCAACAAAGCGCACTTGCAGCCCAGAAAGCCAATCACATCC